CCATGCTACTCTATGCTGTGTTAGCACTTATACTGATATCTATTTACGATTCCTAAAAAAATGTCGCTTAATCTTTAAAGAATCTTAAAACGGAGGTTTTAAAATCGTACAGTGTTTTTCTCCTTAATAAGATTTGTTATAATTCATTATTTTATCGTTTTCTTTACCTTAAAATATGACACTGTTTTAGCGTCGCTATACGGCTTTTTCAGTCTGTAAAACTTAATAATAAGAATAGCGAATTGAATAATTGAGCAATTCAGGCGTCAATGTGCTACCGTTTTTTAAATAAAGAGTCAACAGTATAGTTAAAAGAATAGTTACATAATATCGCTACTGATTCGATATCGTGCATGAAAATCTATCTATTCTGCAAGTGAGTTGCTTGCAGAAACAGTTAAATTATAAGTATCATGCCTTTAGGGTTTTGCTCTGCAGAAAATACATTTCCGACATACAGGAGCTAAAATTCTAGTCATAACATTTGTTCTTGTCTCATGCGAAACGATAATCGTTAAGATATCGCCTATAGAAGATGTTCCAGGCTCTCTCTCTTCCCACATCTCGTTTTATCTAATTATTTTTCAATGAAAATTATGGACGACAGTCTTTGCAACAAATAGTCATCCATCTGACATTTCTACTGTAGTAATACCAACAAAACGGACTTTACGTAACTTAATTGGAAAAAGGAGTAATAATGCACATTGCCTTTAAAAACGGTTTGAAATAAATGAACGAGTTTCCTTCATTACGTCAATAAAAATTCCAGAGCACTTCGTTTCCTACAAGACATTTTTTGTACAAGAAAGAAAACTTGTGTGTATTTTATGGATATAGCATTGAGAATGAAATTGCCGTTTGATCTTCAGTATCGGACTATTGTTAATTTGACACGGCAATTTCGATGATATGTTTTTGCAGTTTTACATTTCGACAAATTTTGTTTGATAAATTATAACCATTATATATGCGATCAGTTTTATTTTTTAATTTTATATTACGTATTTTATATACATATGTATTTATTTTCTATTCTATTTTTAATTATTCATCGTATTTTTATTTTTATTTTGTGAGTTACTGTGTTTTTCTCATCCATTGAAGATGACAGGTCGGAACGTTTGTGGAATTGTTGTATAATTAAATCATAATATACTAATTAACTAACTTGCTTCATTATCCTTTTTTATTCTCTTTGTTTTTAATTTCTCTCTCTCTCTCTCTCTCTCTCTTTCTCTCTCTCTCTCTCTCTCTCTCTCTCTCTCTCTCGATTTATTTTCTTTTAACTCTTTTCCCAAAGTTCAACTTAAATTGTTACTCAATTTAAATTGTTGGCAGAAAAATAACTCTTTGGCACGCTTGTTTAAAATTTATCTTGGAATTTATCTTGAAAATGTAACAATTAATTTCCTTCTTGCAGCCAACATTTAATATCTTCATAATTTTTCTCTTTACACGCTTTATGTGGAGATCTCATCAGCGGCTAATAATAAACGTCCAATTTCCGGTGTCTGCGCATCTTTGGTTTCTCTCGCCGCGAGTAAGTGTTTCCTACTTCCAGATACAAGAGGATAATTACAATAGAGTGCTATAACGAGTTGTATTACGAGATAAATACAACTCGCATAGCGCGTCTGTCGTCTGCTTGATATAAAGGTCTGTCCTACTAATGATATTATCTCATTACCGTTAACTACACACACTTAACGGAATGCGAATTATTGGATGAAAATCGCGAATACTTTCGTACGTATATACGTGTACCATTACAGTTAAAATGGTTATTAATTAACGCAATAATTATTCTGCGTATTAGAAATCGTATTTCTTATTTTTAATCAAAGTAACTTTCGCAAGTATGCGTAAGATGAGAGAAGATGGGAGAAAATATGACTTTAACCAGCCGGAGAGTAGCGTTTTTTTATTGCACGTCGCAATACTAGGAAAAGCACGAAACTCGCGTATATCCTTATTACCTCGATAATACTATCGTTGCACGCGGAAATTGCAATATTGCCTTATTCTGATTATTTTCGAGCTTTCAGCGTGCGCATACACCACGCGAAGCTGACAACATAATGCGTTGAGATCACAATGCCATCAAATTTGCATTGCCAAAGCCATGCTTAGTGTTGTTAAATTTATCGAATAATAAATTTAAAAGGACAGAAAAAAGAATAATTATTGAACCACTTTAATGATCTTTTTATTTTATTCTATTTTAATAATAAATATTACTGTAATGTAAACCTGTATACCTACAAAATTCGATAAAAGTCGGTACCAAACTTATACAATATGTTAATGAGGTCGAGTGGCTAAGAAAAAGTTCATCTAAACTTATGCCGGAGAATACTTTATAATAAAAAGTTATAAACTTTCAAAGATTTATCAGCAGAATACATTTACTACTATTTCTATATAGTACAATAGATATATTTGGAAACCTGCATTCTTTCAAAAAGAAGAATTTTCGAACATTTATTGTTATAAATTTAGTTTCGACTTTTATGAATACTTGTAGGTATATCTCATTATTTATCGTTTTGAAACTGTTGACCTTTTTCACATATACATATATTGCGGCAAAATAACAATTAATTTTATATTATACAATATGATATACAATTAGTTATATTAATTAATTAACAGATTAATTATCTCGCGTATTAGATCATTTTAAATTATTTTCAACTTTATGCGTTATTGTCCTGCTATTTATTGAAATTTTACATTCACAAAGGAAACAGGTTACTCGTAATCCTATTTGTGTAATCGGAGCGAGACGAAACGTTCGACAAGGTACGCCACAGCTTTCGCGAATAGCAATTCGCTACCGGGAATTTTAATTAGCATGTTGTAGTTGAATTTCACTTCATTTCGGAATCAGACCGTCGTGACCGTGTCGATGTTAAGTGATTAAAACTTATATCGCAATTCATTTTTTATACAAATGCGATTATAATATTTATATATAATAATATATCTAATGTATAATAATAAAAGAGAATTAAAATAATGATTTTTAATTATATATTATATTATATATAATTATAT